TCACAGTACCAATGTGTTATCTGTAGGTGGTGGGGATGACAGCTGTGCAGAGGAAATGAGGGCTATTATCTCCCTTGCTAAGGGGAATTTTTCTTTTAGAGACAGAGTCTTACTTTGTCACCCATGGTAGAGTGCTGTAGCATCACAGCTCACAGCAACCTCCAGCTCTTGGGCTTAGGTGATTCTCTTGCCTCAGCCTCCCAAGTGGCTGGGACTACAAGTGTTTGTCACAATGCCTGGCTATTTTTTTTTGATGCAGTTTGGCTGGGGCTGGGGCCGGGTTTGAACCCGCCACTCTCAGTTTATGGGGCCGGCACCCTACTCACTGAGCCACAGGCGCTGTCCTCCCTAAGGGGAATTTTTATGGGTGAGAAAAATGATGTTAAGGTCACTGACCTGTGTGTAAGAAGATGGTGGAAACCTTGTTTAGTTGTGGTGAACTTTGCCAAACAGAACTGTAATCATTTGCCAGAGCAGTGTAGGGGAAATTATCTATCTATCTATTTTAAATACAGTAGAGCCTTTGTAAATTGACCAGCCAAGGTACTGTAACAAGCTGGTCAACATACAGAGATGGTCAACATAAGGAACTAAGCCTACTGTACTGATACGTACATGTGGTGCACGTCCAGTCCATGAAAATTAGGTAAAGTTAAGGAGGTGGTCCGTGTAGGGTGCTATGGAGGTTCTACTGTATAATTATATATTATGTATATATTGGATTTTCTAATAATTTAATAGCCAGATAACAATAACACTAACAACACTAAGGGTTTCTTTTTTTGACAAAGAAAGTACTTTTAGGCTTGGCGCCTGTAGCTCATACAACAGAGCTAGTGGGTTCAAATCCAGCCTGGGCCTGCCAAACAACAATGACAACTACAACCAAAAAATAGCCGGGCATTCTGGTGGGCTCCTGTAGTCCCAGCTACTTGGGAGACTGAGGCAAGAAAATCACTTAAGCCCAAGAATTTGAGGTTGCTGTGAGCTGTGATGCCATAGCACTCTACTCAGGGTGACAGCCTGAGACTCTGTCTCCAAAAAAAAAAAAAAAAAAAGTACTTTTGAAAATGACACAGCATTGAATGATTTCCTCATAGTTCTAATGAACATACTCTGACTTATGCATACCTCACCCTCTGTGTGGTCGGTGATATTTAGTTGTAAGCTTGGACCTGGGATGCTGTTGGCAGCCGCTGACTGTAATGTCAAACTACTTGACCCACTGAACAACAGAATCCAACTCCTTGTTCTCATTATCACAGTTCTCCTGCAAGCTGAGCAAGGTTGCCATGGATAAATACAAACTCTGCCAACAGGTATTTAGTGAGCACCTTTTGTGGTCTTAGGTTCTTTCTTTCCCAAATCTGCTAACAGTATGTTAAGAGCAACCTAATAGAAAGGTGGATTTAATAAAAGAGATGCCGTGGGATAATATTTAGGTAGCAGTCATGAGCTCTGAATTTTTAAAGGATAGCTATAAAGTAACTCACTAGGTCACATGGTAGGGTTAAAGTTGACTCTGAAAGTTGTTTCACTGCTTTTTAATAAGTAATAAATAGTTGAAGAAGGATTTGGCAAGAGGAAGGAACATCCTTCTTGTCCTCATTCTCTCAGGGTAATGCTTCCTGTTATCAGGCTACTGGGCTGTTTACTTTGCCTTGACTGCTTACAAGTGGTGTGTCAGCCCCTAGCCCTGAACTGAGTGGAGTTCAAATAAACCAAAACCGTTTTTGCACAACTGGACTCTTCTGCTGATGAGTGGTGCCAGTATGTCGTCTTTTACTATTTAGGAGAGATGAACAAGAAACAATTTGAAAGGCAATTCATGAGCTAATATCCATGACCTAGTTAAACTTGAGTTTGCAACTTTGAGACTTTGGGGTATCTGGCATAAGATGAGGAGCAGGTTCTGGGAGATACAGATTGATTTATTAAAAGCTGTACTTGCCTTGGTGCCTGTAGCTCAGCAGTTAGGGCACTGGCCACATATACCAGGGCTGGTGGGTTCGAACCCAGCCCTGGCCTGCTAGACAATAATTTCAACTGCAACAAAAAAATAGCCAGGCACCTGTAGTCCCAGAGACTTGGGAGGCTGAGGCAAGAGAATTGCTTAAGCCCAAGAGTTGAAGGTTGCTAGGAGTTGTGATGCTATAGTGCTCTACCAAGGACGACATAGTGAGACTCTGTCTCAAAATAAATAAATAAATAAATAAATGCTATACTTAAGGTACTTTGCTTTGTATACTACCCAGTTTTATTAATGATTAGGTTTAACCTTTCTTTGCATAAATGAAAATACACATAAATTCTCATTTCTAAAATCTCAGTGATATTGCATTGTCATTAAATGCTGTTATATCCCATAGTCGTAGGTCCACTGTGCAGCCCTGGCAAGGCAGGAATGTGGGGCAGAACTTGCAGACACAGTACCCTGATCGGTGTGTAGTAGGCACTGACTTTGAACATTGTACATATGAATGAGTAAATGGGCAGGGGAACATGTAATATAGCTAGAATATGCGGAATTCAAATGAGGGGATTAAACACTACTGTTTAGGGTACTTTTGGGATTGCATTATCTGAAGGTATTTCATTCATTTTAAGAAACATTCATGTATTGTCTACTTTCTGCTAGGCGTTAGAATTTTACAAAGTCAAAATGATACCATTCTTGCCTTCAAAGAAGTCATAGTTATGTAACCAGAAAAGTTGCACAGCAGAGTAATGAGTGTCACAGCAGAGGTCAATGCCTATCCAAGGCACAGAAGTGGCACAGAGGGAAAGAGCCATATCTGAAGGATGGCATGGACATAGCTACTTTTACTAATTTTATTTATCTTGTTTACTGCCCATCTGTTCCACTTGAATATAGGTATAAATTTTTGTCTGAGTTACTTATTTTTACTTGTATATTTTAAATTGCTGGATCTCCAGCTTCTAGGTTAGTATCTAGGATAGGATAAGCATTCGATAAATATTTATTGCATGAGTGAATGATTTTTTTTTTTTTTGAGACAGAGCCTCAAGCTGTCCCCCTGGGTAGAGTGCCGTGGCATTACAGCTCACAGCAACCTCCAACTCCTGGGCTCAAGCGAGTCTCCTGCCTCTACCTCCCAAGCAGCTGGGACCACAGGCGCCCGCCACAACGCCCGGCCATTTTTTGGTTGCAGCCGTCATTGTTGTTTGGCAGGTCCGGGCTGGGGATTCGAACCCACCACCTTAGGTGTACGTGGCTGGCGCCTTAGCCGGTTGAGCTATAGGCGCCGAGCCGTGAATGATTTTTGATAGATGTTGCCAAGTTACCTTCAAAGAGAACTTCCTGATCACATTTCTACCAGCAATACACAATAGTGATTTTTACCCACATCCTTGCCAGTGCTGGGTTTTGTACAATTTTTAAAGTTTTGCTAAACGTGCCATACTGTCTCTATAGTAAAAGAAACAACTCTCCTTGACTGCCATCCACTTTTTAGCAATTCTGTTTTCTGCTGCCCTCACATAGAAGGACCCTCGAAGGAGTGCTTTCCGTGTCCTCTCGCTTTTCACTGTTTCCTGAACCGATCGCCACGTGCTGGCACTACCGCCAGTGATCCCCATTGGCACTTTCTGTTGGTGTCTCATCAGTGTTTGAGACCGTTGATCAGTCTTCTTCTAGAAATGGTTTTCATTTTCTCCCTGGACACAACACTGTCCTGGATTTCTTCTATTTCATTGACTGCCTTTTCTGAGCCTCCATTGCCACTTCCTTCTCCTCTGTTCCATCTCTAAATGTTGGAGCATCCCAGGCTCTTCCCTGGTGTCTCTTCTCTTCTCCTTTCCCTGGTCCTCTGAACTTACTTTCCTTAGAGAGGCTTATCTTGTGCCGAGGTTTTCATATGTATAAAATCTACACTTCCAGCTCAACCTTTCCCTGCATGCGTGCCACTGGCAGCTTGGCTGCAGTACATGGTGTCTCCTTCTAATTGATGCCTCCAACTCACCTTCACCAAAACAGGACTGCTGACCACCCTCTTCTGCATCTGTCTCCCTCGCCAGTCACCCCCATTTCAGTGAACAGAGCTATTGCTTTTGTTTCACTGAGAAACAAGGGTTGTCCTTGGTTGTCCTCTTTATCCCACACTTAATGTCCAGGCCTCAGCACCTCCTGTTGGCTCTGCCTTCAGAGCATATTCTGAGTCCAGATGCTTCCACCACCTCCATGCTGGATGAGCTGCTCTTATCTGTGCTTGGCCTCCGTTTTCCATTCCTGCCCCTCGCTAGTTTGTTCTCCACCAGCCAAGGATCTCTTTAAAGCATAAATGAGATCCCTTCTTGTACCTTCTCTAAGTCCTCTCAGGGATTGCAATTGCATTTATAATAAATCCCACAGTCTCCATTGTGGCCCCCAAGATTGGGTGTGGCCTGACCCAGCCTTCCGCTGTGCACTCCTCTCTTCCCCACAGTGCCAGCCCCATCGCTGCCTGCCCTTCGTTCTTTCTACTGGACCAGAGCCTGAGGGTCCTATCTGAACTGAGGGCAGAAAACCAGTGGTAGCATCTCACAGGGTTGCTGAGGATTAGTGCATTGAAAGCACAGAAATGGTGTTTGCATGTAGTGAGCATGTGTGTGTGTTAGCTGCTGTTTGCTGGTTTTCCAGTTACTATTTCAGAGAATGGAGAGGAGGAAGGCATGTTGGTTGTGCTGAGTTTTACATGCTATTAGGTGTGTAAATAGAAATGTGCTATAGACAGTCCAGTCTGTCTATTTGGAAAGAGCAGGAAGGGGAAGCCTAATAACCTGGGAACAATGAGTGAACCTTCAAGCTCTAATTGAGTGTTGGGAGACCAGTTTGTGAATTGGGCAGAGATGGGTCATTGAGTGAGCTGTATCTGTCAGGCTTTGTACAGAGGTTTTACACCAGACAGCAGACACCTTGTTCACTCTCCAGTGATACAAGTGAAAGATTTCAATAATTTTTGTGGCTTAGACTTCCTTTTTTCTTTTAAAATGTTTCTCAGTGAGCCAAGGCCTGAGTTTTGCTCTGGAAGTCTGTCCGTCCTTCTGTAATTCGGAGCTATGCATTCAGATCCTGGACCTTCATGGATGCAGCTGTTTCTCACTCTTATGATGCTGTGCTCTTCGGTGAGCTCAGGTAAGAACTGAAGAGTGCTGAGCCTTGGTCAAAGCCTTTTGTCTTAACCCTACAGGAGACAGATTTAACTTCAAGGCATTGCCAATAATAGTGGGTTTGTCCCCTCTGCTGCCTCCCTCCCCTCCCTCCCCTTTTCTCCTCCTTTCCTTCTTGTTGAGACATGGTCTCATTCTATGGTCTTGGTGAGAGTGCAGGGGTGCAACTGTGTCTAATCATAGTTATGGCAACCTCAAACTCCTGGGCTCAAGCGATCCTCCTGCCTCAGCCTCCTGAGTCACTGGGACTACAGAGATAGGCCTCCAGACTTGGATAATTTTCCTACTTTATGTAGAAATGGGAGTCTCACTGTGTTGCTCAGGATGGTCTCAAACTCCTGGCCTCTAGCCATTCTTCTGTCTCAGCCTCCCAAAGTGCTAGGATTACAGGTATGAGCCACCATGCCTAGCTGATAGTAGGGGTTTCTAAGATTTGTTTGACCAGTTATGAGATTTTATTTTGTTTTATTTATTTATTTATTTATTTATTTATTTATTTTTTGAGACAGAGCCTTAAGCTATTCGCCTGAGTAGAGTGCTGTGACATCACAGCTCACAACAACCTCCAACTCCTGGGGTCAAACGAGTCTCCTGCCTCAGCCTCCCAAGTAGCTGGGACCACAGGCGCCCACCACAATGCCTGGCTATTTTTTTGTTGCAGTTTGGCTAGGGCTGGGTTTGAACCCGCTACCCTCGGTATATGGGGCCGGTGCCCTACCCACTGAGCCAGAGGCGCCACCCTTATTGCTTATTTTTTATATTATTTGTGGCATATTTTAAATCTCAGGCT